AATAACCACAATTTTGACTTGCTAGTGATCGTGTTAAATTATACGTAAAAGAAATAAAACTTAAATTAACAAAAATGATAAAAACGATAAAAATTTATTCAAAAGTTCCACCAGGTGGCTCTTCCCTGTTAAATGTTATTTACACAAATAGCTAATTAACAATTTGCATGCATCGTTCTCTTTCATCAGTCGAAGTAAGTTTTGCATGAATTTTGACTTAAAAGATAATTCATGTCCGTTTAAGTAAAATTTAAAAAATGAGCCGTTTAAGTACGTTACGTAGTGATCAAAATTTTATACAAACCCCACACGTCAGACGTCCCCCGTATTATTATACAGATTAGTCGCTTGGTAATGGTTTGCCTACCAGTGTTTTTAGTATTTAAGAATTGCTTAAATTTTGCATTTTAGTCCTAAATAAATATTTTTTTAAAGCAAGCAACACAGCTTGTGTCTTACCATAACCTGAGTTTACTGTAATAGTTAGTATGTATAATCAAATTAAATGGCGACGAGTGAAATTAGGAAATGATTTCACGCGTATAATTTCCTATCGTGGGTGACAAATTACGTCTTGTTTACACACGGAGGCGTAAAATCGCTCGAGTACTTTATCCAACTGCTAGGGAAGAATCATCTCCAGATTTTTCTCAAGGCTCTTTTCGTCACACCACTTCTCAAAAACTCGCACCAGTTAATTGTGCTCTTTCGCGTATTTAAATTTTCGGCCGCTTCCTTTAATTTCGTAACTTCTTCAAGCGTCACCGTCTTAAATCTCGACGCCATCTTGGCTCTGATCGAGATACAAGAGATGTTATCATGGCAATTTTGTAATTTTACATGTGAAATTAAAAATCAACGCTGAAATTTCGCGCCAAAATTAAGGAGTAATTTGTCACCTATGATATTTTCCTTTTAACTGCCGAGCAAGTTTGAAAATGACAAGCTGCCAACTATTGTTCCCCCGGTTATTTGACTCTTTAATCTCTCAGAGCGACTGGCTTTTAATTTCTATCTGTGACAACACTCTTGAATCAATTCTCCATGACAGTACCATAGAAAATTTAAAGAGAAGAGTGTGGGTGTAAGGGGTTAATAGAATTTTTGAATGCGCCGCAAAGTCTTAAAAGCAGTCAATGTTTGGAGTAAAAAGAGCTCGTGCTTTTAAGTTCTGAGAAACTTTCTGTAAAATAGCGCTGACAGACATATTGACAGATATTACAAGGGGTTCCCAGATACTTTTTAGCATCCATGGACTGGTCACGGACTGCCACAAGTCCACAGAACGAGGCGTCCATCTTCGCTGTCCATTCCAGAAGCCTTACTTCCAGTGTGCAGTGCCAAGATAATAATGATAATAATAATAATAATAATAATAATAATAATAATGATGATGATGATGATAATATGGATAGTATTAGTAATGATAATACTAATAATAATAAGAAGAATGAACTGGACTCCAGTTTTAGTCAAAACGAAAAGGCAGCAGATTTTATTAGAAGCGTTCATAATGTTTCCAAATAATTTGATGTATTCATGGCAAGTTCAAGATTTAAATCTGTGCCGCGCTTCTCGTTGATTTATAAATTTAGAAAGGGGATTCGAACATATTTTTCCAATTCGCTTATGTAGGGTTTATTACATAATTTATATTCTATTTCTTACTTCTCTCACCTACATTCTAGTGTTTCAAAACCGATCCAATGATAAAACAGTACTAAATTTGAATTTCTCCTGGGCTTTTACCCCGAAATTAATTAGATAAAGGCAAGGAGGACGCTACACGTGCACTGCGCGTTGTTTTCACGTGGTACGTTTTCCTTTATTGGTCAGTTCCCAAGTAAGTACAAATAGTTCACAGAATTAATTTTGAAGCAACCGTTACAAATACGTGACGTTTTTGGCACCATGCTTTTCCGCACTTGTGCCAGATCACACTTTTTTCTTCTATCTACAACTAAATTTGTTTGCTTTACACAATATTAACCATACATTTTCAAAATCCCATCAGTTTTTCGCGAGCATTCTTGTCTACCTAGTAACGAAACAAGAGAACTTGGACCTCTAAGACAAATTCAATCCTGCACGCTAAAGATGCATTGATTACACGTGATTCGCTTCACCTGATTGGTGAATTATTAAAGGTCATTTCGTGAAGTTCTTTAGAGTGATGGCCAAATTACGTGGCGACCGTGACCGTGACCGTGATAACGCGAAAGCGAACGATAATTTCCGTCAAATTGACAAGAGTCTAAGTCCGAACGAACTCAACTTACGGGCTGAGAGGTGAGGAAACGAGGTTACTTTCTTGTTATTGGGGAAAATAGAATAGTTTGGACCAAAAAGAAATTAATTAAACATTATATATGACTAAGCTCTAAGCTCTCAACTTCACATACGCACGATAATTAATACACTTGCCAATAGCGGATCCAGGGGGAGGGTCCGGGGCATTCGGACCTCCCCTTATCAGACCTGACGCTTACAACTTTGAGACTGAACTTCTTACATCCGCAAGATCGTATACCACTTTTTAACTGGCTGATCTTTTTAATTAATGAATCCAAGTAAACGGTAAGCGGCCAAGAAATTATAACGTGCAACCGCGACTGGCGGGAGGGGGTGGGGGAGAAGTAATTTGCCTCAAAAGAGTCCAACAGTCCTTTCTGAACCAAAGTTTGGACCCCCAATCAAAAATTCCTGGATCCGCCCCTGCTTGTAATGGTTCTTCATTTATTGACGTTCATATAATAGCATAAGAAGCTTAAGACACTTTATCAATCTCTATTCCTCTTTATAAGAATTTTGTGTTCTTATTGAATATTTGCTTCACGGAATAAAACGTATTCCCTTCATTTTGTGGTTTTTATTTCTTTAAAACATGTGAAAAATTTAAAGTGGGACTACAAACCATTGAAAGCTGTTTTAAGACAAAACTAATTATCAAAAATTTGGATATATCAACAAAGTTGAAATGGTAAATTGGCCACCGTAACGATTACAAAAGCTGACGTTTCGAGCGTTAGCCCTTCGTCGGAGCGAAGGGCTAACGCTCGAAACGTCAGCTTTTGTAATCGTTACGGTGGCCAATTTACCATTTCAACTTTGTTGATATATCCAAATTATTTCGTTACTCCCACCGACGCAGCCCCAAACAGTTTCTTTCGAAACTATCAGCCTTTATTTAATTATCAAAAAGTATAGCGAAAGAAAAGGACAGAAAAAAGACACTGTGAAAACACCGCGGAAACAATCATCCTGATCCACAGTAGCTGGTAATGTCTGACAGAAATGAGATACCTGTAATGGTAACTAAGCGTTAAATCTACAAATCATATGTTCAGAACTACATACATTTTCACCCTGAAAGGAGAATTAGCACTTTCACTGAAACCATTCGTTTTTTCCAATGAAATACAAAAAAAAATTTATCACAAGTAAAAAAATAAAATAATTTTTCTTCGCTATGTTAGACAGTTTCAAATGAATAAAGGCTGATAGTTTCGAAAGAAACTGTTTCCGGCTGCGTCGGTGGGAGTAACGAAATAATTTGGATATATCAACAAAGACAGTTAGACAGTTTCAGTCGAGTTCATGTATATGTACAACTTAATCTACATTTGGATGAATAAATAAAATTCTTTCCATAATCTCCAGCATTTACCTCGGAAGAATAAGCAGAATTTGCAGTTTTAATGCTGTTGTGAAATTTGGTTACAAATAATTGTAGTAAATAAAAGCCCAGTGGCTAAGTAAGAGGCTTCACAGACACCAAAAAGAGACAAACGTCCGTCAGTTCGTGATTACAAGTAATAGCTTCTTAAAAATTTGCTATTCAAATGAGCACTTCAACACCAAACATTAACTGAAAGACTCGTTTTATTTTTTCGTTTGCATCGAAGCAATAGACTAGTTCACTTCCTCTTTTTGATATACTCATCGTTATTTCTTATAATTTAGTTTTCTATCACCGTAAATTAAACGTTCATCGATCAAAACAACCATCATCTTGAAGTAATTTCAATTCCTCACTGTTTGTTTTGACGGCTTTCTTTAACACTGAAATTGATTTATCACCTTGAGACTTCAATAGTCTCGCATTTTGAGAATAACAGACTTTATCAGAAAATCACTTAGAATGACTGAAAATGGGTGATTTTAATTATTTGAAAAGTGCTTCAAATGAGAAATAAAGCAACGAATGAAATATTTGTGTTTACATCGATAGAAAATGAAAAACCGTGGTTGTAGGGAATTTTAGGCAAGGTCTTATTAACCAACTACCTGGTTCTTATTTTTTCAATTTTTATTTTTTCAATTTTTATTTTTTTAAACTTTGAATTTGCTAATGTCAATCTTATTTTCTGTAGCCGTCTTCTTTGAATTGCCAACATATATCTCTCGTTTATTCGTCTGTTTTGAGTTGTTCGTAGAAGTACAAACAGATATTTCCCACTGGTTTAAATATGACTATTTTTTCATGACCAACTCAAAATAAAACAAGGAAAATAGAACATGAAAAACTCATTGAGATATCAAAGGAGAGTTTATAAGGTAGTCACTGTAAAATTTGTTATTGGATTCTAAAGGATCTGTCTCACTGTAGAGATGCCACTTAATAATATCACTTATAAACCCAACTGAATACAACTTTCTCCGTCATAGCCTGTTTGATGATGACAATTAAAATCCTTCACTGACAGTTTATTGTTGCAGAAAACCCTCACCGAAATAAACTCAGGACAAAAAAAACCAGTTTTTTTTTACTTTCTTCAGAAATTTAAAGGAGTAAATTCTTGACAGAGGAGTTTTGAATATTGCCAAGGAAACTTTTTGAATGTTAACTGAAGGGAGTGCCATCGCCTGGAGTGAGACTTGTGTGCTGTCACCAAGATATTTGAAGTTTTGGAAAAGAATGTTTTACCCATATTAGAACCCTCTAATTCGTTTACTCAAAACATACTCCACCAAGCTTCGGCTAAGGGAGGACTCGACGAAGTTTTCATACCAGACCAGGAGAGATTTCTTTTTTTCTCTGGTATATATAGTCAAGTTAAAGACGGTAGTAAAGGTGGTCATTTATCATAATGTACCGAAGAATAAAACTAAAGCTGAGCTCTTCGGCGTTACAAATAGTTCTTCTCGCTGCGTTGCTTCAAGAAGGGCTACAAACAGCCAGTGCATTTGGGTAAGTGTAGAATCTGTACATTCTTAACTCTTGCTTAAATGTAACTGTATGAATCTTATTGCACACTATTTTGTTTTGTGGATAGAGTGCCTCTTATTTCCAATGAATTTTCCTCCTGTTTTTTTTGGTTTTTCTACATCAAATTAAGTTTGTCTGTCCATAGAACTGTGGATTTTTTCAATCATTTCTGTATAAATCTTATCCAAAATCTATATTTTAAGACATCAAACTCGGTTGATAAAGCGAATAATTATATTTTGAAGGTTCCATTTTATAAGTACAAGAGTTGAATAAATGAACAGAGTAATCAATTTGATGTGGTAAACATTGCGAATTTATGGAACCAATGTTTTTATCGCATAAAATTTTTTCTCTATAGTTAGAAAACGGAAACTGGCATTATTACCAGGCGCAAAATTTTTCCAAACATTCGCAGCCATTTCCAGGCGCGTCTTTTACCCAAGGGCGGATTACATACTTTATACAGTAGATAGCTATGCTTGAATATCATTCTGAAGCGAATAAACTCCCTTGAGAAGTCTGAAAGTTGGCCTTTTGTGAATCGAAATTCGCAGTTGTTGTTTTCATGATTTTCGCGGATTTTAACTGATCAGAAAACGAATATAAAGAAGCTTATTGAAACATGGCAGTGAAGGATTCCTCACTAATGAGTATTAATTCAGGTTTCCAGCCAAAAGATTAAAAAAAATTCACTCTCACAATTGGAGCATCCGTTTTGTGCCCCTTCACCTGTAAAAGGAATAGAAAATAATTACATGATAACATTTCAGCCGGAGTCACTGAAACTCTCGTTGGAATGAAAGCGGTTTCATCGATGACAGAGGTTTGATATAAGCATCTGTTAGGTTGTGGGAGAGAAAAAAATCCTTTTTTTTCTAGAAGTAAGTTAAGTAAAGTAAAAAAAAGTTAAAATAACGCAACCTTCTTCAGAAAATTTCAAACCTCTTTTTTATTCTTTATGAAAATTCGAGTCATCTGTCCTTAACTACAACATTTTCTTACCGTTACTCAATATCAGAATATTGATGAAAATACATGTCTGACAATTTATTCGACATTTTGTCCCTCAGGTATAATTTCGAAAAGACATTTGAAACAGAAGTCGACAGCCTTGTACAACTGGAAAATCAACGATCTTTAAGAAGCCGTAAGTACTGGCGGAAAATATTTCCTTTAGTAGTATACTGCTTGGGATATCCGAGACAAACGTAACTTCAACTGTTTTAAAAAAGCATTGAGTTGTTGAACATAATAATTATGAAGTCGCATTTTACTTAAGCAAGCTATTCTATTTCCGAATGCAAAAATATTTAAGTGGGATGAATTTATCGGACCGAGGGAGGTAGCTAAATAATTGCAGTTTTGTTTTAAATTTTCAGTTTACATGGCAACCCTTTAGACAGAGGTTTCTGTTTGGTTGAAAGAAATATAAAACAGCCGTTTCTGTTTGGTTGAAAGAAATATAAGGAAAAAAAGCGAAAAAACTCACGGAGTAGTTACATTTTCTGAGATTTATTGAGGACATTCTTAACTGTATATTACCCCAAAATTTTATATGTACGCATTAGAGTATGTTTCTATGATACTTATCTTCTTCTGATTGGACAATCCCACGAGCAGTTCACGTGAATCGAGTGAGACCTTGAACACATTTATTTCCTTTCCTAATTATCTCCCAAGGAAGATCTACAAAAATTTTCCTTTTTTTTCTAAGGAAAAATTTGTGGGAGCATTTATAATGGCAAACAAGGAGAATTGCTAAAGGTTTACGTTTATACAAAGCTTTTCTTCAACTCGTTAAACCCCCTTGCTTGTGGACTATCATTTCACGTAATTAGCCATGTCTCTTGTTAATGCAAAATTTCAGAAACTTTGTTCAGGAATAAATTTTTTGGATCACATCCAAAACTTTCTCGGCGAACATTGTAAACTTATGAAGTCAAATTCTGATAATTAAAGCACACTTCAAGTAACCAATCGACGCCTGTTACTAACATTAAATAGAGTAATTTCTTTCAGAAATTATCACACGCTAACAGGCCTTACGTTTTAGCCACCTTGGCAGCGAAAATGTATTGTTTCCCATGTACATCGGTTTGCCAAAGGAACCTCACCCTGTCTTGAATGCATACTGTGAGACCACATGCTTGTAAAAAGATCCTGAATCTTCCGTAATAGTATTTTGCACTCCTAATCAGAGCAACCAGTCTGGTCCATTGTTGAACTAGTGCATTATTGAGAACGAACCTTCACTATACTGAAGACCAAATCCCCGTGGGGCGTCATGAATTCAATTTACAAGCACCAGAGATAAAGTCTAAAAAATAGCTTTGAGATGAACAATTTTCAAAAATTCTGATTGCAATCGGGTTTATCATGCTTCAGTTTTGTTTATCTGGGGTTTGCTCCTTATTTCAAATAATGGTCAACTGCTCTTTCATTATAGGAATGGCTTATTTTCTTGTTCTGGATTGAATTCGATGGCCGGTTGGCAATTGCTCAATTGGTGTAATCTCTTGAATCCTTTATCTCTTTTCTCTTGGTTGGTGGCTCGATTTAAATTCAAATCAATGGGTTAAAGATGATACATGCCATTTAGCAAAAAAAAAAAAACCGCCTTATTAGAGTAAACCAAAATGGAAAATGGCGCTCATTTATGCCCGAACTTGAGTTAAGCACTCTCTTGAAAGTGTTGGTTCCTGCTATATTAGGTCAATAAAATTCATTTATACCAAATTCCAAGAGCGACTGTCTATGCATTCGATCTTGGATGCCAAATTTGAGAGCTTCTGTAAATCACAAAATCTCTGATTCGGGAGTTTTAGATATCTGGGTGGTCCTCCGATTGAGCTGAACGTTTCTATTACTGGAATAGCCTGAAAGAACTTGAGAAAGGTAAAAAAAAAATCATATTTGTTGGGATAACGTGCAGCCTCAATCAATCATCTTCACTCTAGGGTTTTTAAGAGTTTCTTGATTAGATTTTGTGACAATTCATTGTATTATTTCATCGCCTGGAACGAGAAGAGTTTTTAACATTGCTACCATGTTTCGTGACATAGCCATATAACCCACTTGAGACTTAGTAGTCCACCCTACTAACTCTGTCCATATGCATGAGCCTTTCCTGTTGCCGAGGGTTATCAAAGCGGAAAGTATCAATCTGGATTTTTTTCGTTATATGTAGCGATTAGAATACTAAACAAGCGAGAGCTAGATATCCATATGATACTAACTGCCTCTGCATGAAACCGCAGTTTTTCCGGAAGGAAATTCAACCAAAGGGGTCTGGGTCAGGTAAAACCATGATGGCAAGGATAGAATCGCCAAGCGTAATTGTCTAGGTAGTGGGCAACTTCATATTTTAATGGATTGCCTACGTCGCCCCTCAACCACTGAAGTCCAAGGACATAAATGATTTTCTCGGCAAGTTTTATGCCTCCAATTTAGAGTGGTTCTTTTGTTCGTTTTTCTTTTTACATATTTTCATATTTCTTACATTCTGATCGGCAGCCTAAGAAATTACAGGATTACTCAAAAGACTCCGACACTTTTATGTGTTTCTGGCTGTTTTTTTTTTCTTTGAAATTTTCTATGAAACACAACGAATATATGAAACTCATATATCTGAACTGCGGTCAAGGTTATAGAAAGTATATTATATATTATGTTATATTTTAGTCGTTCAGTGAAGTTTCTAAAACTCTTTCCCTCTTCATGTTCATCTGCTTGACTGAAATGCCTGACTCATTTTACAAACGTGATATTTTTATTTTTCGGCCTAATTTCGGCTAAAAACATCATTTCTCGAATGCAAAGTTGAATGTTGTTTTTAAGTTTTTGACTCGTATTTTTAAGTTTTTGACTGGTGGCGTTGGGAGAATGTAAATAATCCTTTTCGGTGAATTTCCTAGAGTGAAAAAACTACGTCAATCAATTTAAGTGATTTCATGATAAGCTTTCAAGCAGTTTGAGTCCGCTCTACTTCCATTTTTTAAACAAAGCTACCAAGGGCTAAAAATTGAACCAAAAATGCTGACTTCAAGTGAGACTATGCTATATTTGGATAATTCTAATGCCTGTTAGATCCCATAACTAAATTCGGATAGGTCTTGAAGATCTCTTTTAACACAAGATTTTACTTGGCAACTAATAAATTTACATGCAGTTGCACAGTTTTGCTAGTCATCAAAAGGAACGAAAAAGAAAAAACAGCCAAGTATGGACTGTTTTATTGCGTGGGTCTCGCATCAAACAGCAGATTTAATAGATTCGCGTGGACCTTTGGGCCATTTTTCCCCTCTTTATGATGTAAAGGTGCCATGCCCACATAGCAACGCTTGGAAACGCACACTTGCCTATAGTGCTTTTACACTTTCCATCTATCCTAGTTCCGACCTAAAAGAGTTCTCTACTTCTTCTCTGCTTTTTTAACTGTTTTTCATAGTACCAACCACAACCCCCATATTTTACTCTCTTTCATCGATCTCTATATTTACAATTTCTATTATGTGTTATAGCTTATACTAATTTAAATATCGTTTCTTTATATATATATGTCCAAATTGAGCACTGTGGGGTGAGTCATTGCCGCTTGCATTGCGCATAGCTCACTAGGCTTTCCTAGTTTGAGCACTCTGGCATGGCTTAGACGATGCCATAAATGTGAGATCGTTCGGGGTAACCATATCGGTTCTCTCCAATCCTAGCATCAGCACTGCACTGATGAGGCCCAGAAGGCCGAAAGACTACTGTCTGCA